GTTTGTGTGGCCTGGAATGAAAAGAATGGCACAAAGGTTTGTGGMTGAGTGTGAAGTTTGTCAGCGCATTAAACCGTCTCGGCAGAAGCCCTATGGCCTGCTGCACCCTCTTCCTATCCCTGATGGCCTGGGTGAGTCTGTTTCCATTGACTTCACGAACATGGGGAAGAAGAGCGGAAACGGTTATTCGCAAGTGATGGTGATCGTTGATCGGTTTTCGAAATTTCTAAATCTGATTCCCTTGCCACCTCACGCCCCAACTGACCTTGTGATCGATGAGTTCAACAAAAGGTACGTGCTACATTATGGCCCCCCGAAAAATCTCGTGATTGATCGGGACACCAAGTTCATAAGCGCAGACTGGAAAGATTTCACCTCCCAGACCTATGACATGAAACTCAAGATGACGTCTGGGCGACACCCCAAAACCAATGGACTGGCTGAGGAAATCAACCAGACCGTGATCCAGCTTCTCAGGGCTCTAATTGTACCTGATCAGAACTCTTGGGATGAGGAGTTGCCGATTGTGCAGGGGTTGTACAACAACTCCATCCACTCCTCCACCGGGATGACGCCTAACCGGCTGCATCTTGGATGGAAAATCCGCAATCCTCTATCTTATCTGTTTCCTGATCAGCCACCTGGCCTAACACCTCGCCAGCCAGGCTACAGTGCCAAGTTCGATCGCCTACTCAAAGTTGTTGTCGCAGCTATGGAGAGGCGACGCAGTGCCATGCTTAAACACGCTAACAAGAAGCGCCAGCCTGCACCATTCACAGTGGGAAGTTATGTCTGGGTCAAAATGTCTGAGTTTTCTGAAGAAGAATGTGTCTCACGAGAGCTTCTTCCTCAGTACTACGGTCCGTGGCAGGTCTTGAACCGGGTAGGGAGTGATTCCTTCGGTCCTTCCTACACGATTGATGTGCCTGCACATTTGCGCACATACCCAGTTTTTCATGCGTCGAAATTGTTTCCATATGAACCACCTGAAACGTTCAAGTACCGAGAGTCAATGATTCCCCACGCAATCAATGGCGGCCATGAGGTTGATAGGATTGTCGAACACAGTGGGAAGGGAAGAAACAGATAGTACAAAGTTCATTTTCTGTACCATCCGTTGGACGATTTCTATTGGATTGCTAGGAAAGACTTACTGCAGAGTGCACCGCGTGTCGTTAATGCCTATAAATTGATAAGTGTTGAACAGCAACCAAAGTTTACTGCTACCCTGACTCCTACGGAACACGCCCGATCTCTCTTTGCTATCTACGCCTATGATGCACTATGCAAGGACTCTGATTGAGTTACTCGCTCGAAGGAACCTCGCTCTTGAGGGGGGGGTAGTGTAATGACCCGTCATAACACAAACTGAGAACACTGCTGATTTCTGAAGTTCTGCCGATGGAATGGATGCCTTGATGAGATTCCCGCATTCTGCTATGTTTTCTAAGTCTGTCCGTGTGTGTGCGTGCTTGTGACCTACATGCCTGTCTGAGTGCTTGTTGGTATGTGTGTGTGGGACCCGCAAGGGTACTTGCTTGTTTGGTAGGCCCGTAGGGTCGGTACTTACCTGTGGCCGTGGCATTGAGGGTTGTAGCAGGGAAAACACTCAAGTGGGGAAGCTAGCGGCCCTGAGGCCCTTGGGGTAGCGGAAAAACACTCAAGTAGGCCGGTAGGCCGATACTGCACCTCACTGCAGTTGACGTGAGGGGTACTGGAGCCCGAGCAGAAAAAGACAAAGTTGGCATTTTTAGAGTCCAGTAGCGGTAGGGTAGGTCTAGGCCGGTACCAGTCCAACCAGTCTGAGTCTAGAGCCTGTACGGGTAATATCAGGGTCTGCAATGATGTTTCCCTCCGAAACGGAGGAGGTACCGGTTGCTTGGAGAGGCTGAGCGGCCTGGAAGTCACCGCCCAAGAGGCAAGCAGGCCGCTATATCTAGAGGCGGAGGCAAGAGCTCCGCCTCATTCTTCAGTGTGCGAGTTGGGCGTCACGCTGCTGGAGCGCTAGGTGGTGAAGCGCTGGGCACTACAGCGCTGCTGGGAGGAAGAAGCCGGGRRCTTCCACCTTGGCTATGGTGGAGCTCAGCCGGTAGGAGGAGGAGGGAGAAGGGGACCAAGGAGGAGAGTGGTAGGGGACTTACCTGGCTATGGTAGACACCATCTTCATCTCCTTGCTAGGCGCTGCATCAGGAAGGCCCGAGTTGGGGTMGTGCCGCATCAAGGAAGCTCGGACAGAGTCAGGCATGGCGGTTGAGTGGGCAGCGGCATAGCTGCTGTGTGATGACCTGGAAGAAGGKCAGCGGTGTAGCTGCTTGGGGTTGTCTTTGGTACCGGAGGCTGAAGCCTCCGTTGTCCGCCATAGCCTCGGTCTGGGTGAGGAGGAAGAAGAAGGGCTGCCATGGCTATGGTGGACCTCATCTTGTGCCTGCAGTATAAGTGGGATTCGGACATTGATTCTGGTTCAGCTGTTCAACATTATTATTGTTTATTTATTGTTTGAATAAGACAGGAGAAGATAAAGAGGAGGAGGTTGTTGAGCGAAGAAGAAGAGCTTCGTCTTTGGACTATGCTGGAGTACATCATCTCTTTCTTCTTTCTTATTTCTTCTTCTTCTTCTTTCCCTCTCTCTCCTCTCAAGTTCTTTCATTTCTTTTGCAATTGGACGGCATTGGGCTCAAGTTCATTCATTTCTTTTCGCAAGTGGACAACATTGTACTTTCTGATGATTGTGGACTTCAAAAGTGTCCAGGATCGTAACAACTAATTGCACATCGTGCGCAGACACAGTACATCCGCAGCTTAGAAGTAAAGATAGATGCAATACGTGATGGGTTTTAAGATTCCGCGCGTGATATGATGAAGTACCTCGTGGACCAGGTCCACCTGGCAATTAGTAAGACAAAAGAGTTCTGCACTGGCGCCACTGAAGGCGCCAAGTTAGCGACTCCTAAGGAAGAGGAACCGACTCCTAAGGAAGAGGCCCTATTTCGTTTTCAGCCAATAACTGGTCTTTTCAGCCCTGAGGCTTTTCAGCCTGAAACGGAGGGCCACTTTCGGGCCCTCATTAGATCGACCTACCCTAAGACTCAGGCACAAAACCAGGGTTTTGGGAACAGGCTATTTCTGGCCTGTTCCCCACGACAGCCTTGAGCAGGAGCTGCAGCGGCAGCCCCTGACTGCCTTCGGCATTGGCAAGAGCAGCCTCCTGGACTGCCTCGCCTGCAGCCAGGAGGTACCCGAGTAGTACATAGGAAGTTCCCATGCACTTCACGGGTAGGTAGTTGGACAGTAGGACGAGTAGTCTTCAGGATTCAGCCGCAGCACTCAGGAGGAGCGCTGGCAGTAGTAGTTAGCGCTAGCAGTAGTCTACAGCGCTGGGCGCTCATAGCTGTAGGAGTAGTCTTCAGCGCAGGGCGCTAGTAGCTGGTAGTGGTAGCATTGGGGAGAGATGGCTGGCGGAGGCCAGCGGTACTTACCTGTGGCGCCATTGCTCCAGCTCCATCTTTGAGGTACCTGCATCAAGGCGCCAACTTCACAGGTTAGTACTGGACGCAGAGAGAGAGAGAGTTCTTCTTCATCTCTTCTCACCCTCTCACCACCTGACTTCTCAGGATCAGCAGAATACGGCAGAGAGAGAGAGAATTGTGACTTGAGACTTGACGACATTGGATCCAGACTCGACATTTGGGATTCAAACATTTTGATGAGGGACTATTTGAGCCTGTGCCGAAGACTTGGTGTTGACGACATTCCCATCTTCCCCTCCTCTTCGTCTGACCCCCTTCTTCTTTGTTTGTGTATGGTTGGGGCTGGCGCAGTCTTCCTGTGTGAAGCGCTAGACCCCTTTCACACCATGGAACGATGATGATGATGTATGTTCAGGGCTCCATTGCAATATTGATTGTTCGGATCATTGGTATCTAAGTCTTCCGCTACGCTATCTTGTGCTTTGTATTGAGAGGTCGGTTCTTGTTCTGGTCTTCACCGTTACAGAATGCAACAGTTTGGTATCGGAGCGTACCTCTCATTCAGAGGACCGGCTCAATCAAGTAGCCAGCTTGCTTGATGTATTGATTACTCATCAGTAAATCAATAAGGACTTCGTCAAATCTCTGGAAAAAAAAAATTCTCGCAACAACTATCTGAAATTTCTGATATTCGCAATTCGTCTTAGCTGAAAATTTCTGATATTGGTATTTCGTTTTTACGTAACAAATATCTGAATTTTTTGATAAATCGCATTTCGTTTTGTCTGAAAATTCCCGATAGTAGCATTTCGTTTCTCTGATATTTACATAGCTGAAAATTTCTAATGTTAGTATTCGTTTTCTAGGCATATTGGGATAACGATAGAAGTGGTCATATTCTCG